GGGTGCGGGGGACAGGCTCAGATGAAATTTTGATAGACGACTTGGTTTTTACAAGGCGGCAAAATCTTACTGCTTGGAAGTGGTTAGGACAATCATCAAGCTGTCTGTTATAGCATCTGCCCAATGCATGGAAGCTGTCAACCCTCAACAACTGAATTATAGTTGGCAATTATTAATGTTACTGCTTTTGCTAGAGTTCCAGTGAAGTGCCGATTTGCGCTACCATGGACATGGCTGTTTTATTTATGATGATCTGATAACACTAAAGTCATCCTTGTAACCATGGTATGCAAAATCTAATCATCCCGTAGATTTAAGTCTACTTTGTTAGGCTACGTCTATCCAATCGTCCAACCTCGAACTGGTCACCTTCAAGTTGCTTCCGACTGAGATATTTACATCAGGCTTTGTAATGGTTATCATTAGCCCATTGGTTGATTTCAGACTTCACAGAGGGAAGGAACACAAAATTCGGGCAGGGGGGGGGGAAACAGAAGTGTGATTCACAGATGCAAGAGAGAAACAGACACAAAAGTAGAGAGTAGGGTAAGGTAAGTACTGTTGAAGTGGTGGAATATGACATAAAGTGGGGTCATGATTGTTTGAAGTGAGAAATCAACTGCCGGTTTATAGACTCTATTTAACGTGGGAGTATATGTTGCCCAGGGTGCACCACGTGGGGATAAGTCTGTCGCTCACCCCCCTCCCCCCTCCCCCGGACTGTAATATAGAGGTATGATCATGAATATGTAGAAGAAATTGCAATTAGTCTTTTGTGTAGCATCTGCCACTGTGCAATTGTTCAGTGTTTAGTAATAGAAGCCAGAACTTGAAGTGCTCCAGAGCTGTAACTTGAAGTGACGTCGGATGAATTAATTAGACTACTTAAATCCCATAGGATGTTTATTGGCAATCATCCGAAACTGGAATTTCTGGGACTCGCTTTATGGCCGTTAGCTGCTGGGTATGTTTCTATCACCCAGTTATCACAAGAATATCCCAACATTGAAGTAAGTTACTAAATTCACTTTGCATAGTAGGCATTATTCTGTTGGCTTGTCTCCTGATACTCTACTTTTCCTGCTTGCTTATTTGTTATTTTTCATCAATGGGGATAGCCAAAGAAAACCATCTGTTATCCATATTGGCAGTCAGTCCATATATTAATGTGCTGGAGTTGTGGTAGAGTGTTGTAGTAAATTCTGGCTTTTAATAAGCGAACTAGACGGTGAAGAGAACGGGGCGAGGGACTCATCTTTGGCCAGCAATGGACAATTCGCTTAGCATTCCCCCACCGAGTGTTTAAGTACCAGAAATATTTATTTGTATAATTTATTTATAACAAATGGCAGGCGTTTTGATGGTTATAATTAGCCCTTCGGTTGATTGCGGGCTTCACAGAGGAGATGAGGAACATAAAAGTGAGAAGAATAGAAGAGTGATTCACAGATGTTAAAGAAACAGACAGACAAAAAGGCTCAGAAAGGGTAAGATGAGTACTGTGGTAGGGGTCGAATATGACATACAGTTGGGGTGACGGTAGTTTGAAGTCAGAAGTCAACTGCCGGTTAACAGAATTTTTTGCCGTATGATTATACATTGCCCAGGGTGCACCACAAGGTAAGTCTATCCTACACCCCATACCAGAAATGTTGAAGTTGTACATTATGAGGCAGAGCGCATTCTATGACTTTTGATGTTGTAGGCCACCCCCTAAAAGAAAGGTTGATCAAAATCATTTCATTTCGTTTCGATGAGAAATCATTTTCACGGTTTATTTGGCGTTTGCCAGAACAGCCCTCATAGGCCAACTCAATTTGCTCTTGCAAAATCTAATGACACGCCGTTTACAGGATTGGTAGCGCGATCACTTATTACTTGCCCTTTCATGCACAAAGTTAATCGCTAATTCTTAATAGATGCGGTTTACTCACAACTATTTTTTCAAAAAGCTAAAACTCTAGTTCTCTGCTGTTAGCTGAGTGCTCTCAATCTCTGCTGCCAAAATATGTGCTCCCGGAAAAAAACTCGCTGCTTTCAGTGCAACAATTCTCCAAGAGTGCCTATCAACTTCTTTAACGTACCCTTTGTAACATTCTAAAACTTTCATTGAATTCTGTCAACTTTTGAAGTTTAAATGATTAGAATAGTATTATAAGTGAGATAGAACGATAACCTCATTATTTATGTAGGACGTGAACTTATCCACTGATCAATGGAATTTTTAAAAGGATAATTGACTTGATTTGGTATAAAGTTCCTTCATCATCAGGTCTCCTCCCGTCTATTTCCAATAGCCCGCTTTTATACTTAACACCAGAGTGGCGTAGCGGTCAATTGGATGCTAATCGCATCTTGATAATTGGGCACTTCAACGACAACGAAAGAGGCCCTACTACGCTTACAACTTCTACTGTAAATTATACTTTTTAGATGATTGGCGGATTAAGCGAACAACATTTAATAAGGACGATAAGTCGATACCCCGATCGAACAGCCTACTATCACTCTGCTACCTACATTCTTTTTCAGCGTGTTCAAGGTAGTCACGTCTTCTCTCCAAATCTTTTTGAAGTAAGTCTCCTCTATCTGGCTAATATTATTATTACGCATTTTAGTAAAGTTAGAATTTTATAAAATCTAACAAATCGAAGAGATTTATGCATTAATAAATTTTTAAATTTTTACATCTAGTGATTTTTAGCTTTGCTGACATCCAGTCACTGCTCCATCTTTAATAATCGTATTCCTTACCAATCTAGGGACTTTGAGCAGCATCTCTGTCGAATGAAACAAAGCGTCTTGTCTAAGAAAAATTCATATTACTGCGTTTTTTGGTTCTTATTAATTATTACGTGGTAGGCAGGGCTCACCATTATGGCATTTGCGTTTTCTTACTAAATTCAGCGGATTAGATTTATTTTGAAGGATAATTGGCCAACGACAAACACATTATTATATATACCTCCAGGTTTTTTTCCTTGCGTTATAATCAAATTTACCTCTCTAAGGCTTACCTCATAGACCTGCCATTCATAGGGTACTTATTTATTTATATCAAATGGCAGGCGTATTGATAGTTATCATTAGCCCTTTAGGTGACTTCGGGCTTCACAGAAAAGAAGGAACATCAAATTGAAAAAAAAGTCGAGAGGGGGGGGGACGGAAGAGTGCTTCAAAGATGCAAAAGAGGCAGACAGACACAAAAGTAGAGAATATGGTAAGGTGAGTACTGTGAAAGTGACGGAATATGACATACAGTGGGGTGATGATAGTTTAAAGTCAGAAGTCAACTGCCCGTTAATAGACTTTTTTGCCGTATGAGTATACGTTGCCTAGGGTGCACCACGTGGAGATAAGTCTATCGCACACCCCACCATTCATAGGGTAAAATATCGCTTACATATGCACTCATACCAGGTTAAAAATGAACGATAATCATTGGTGGTTTATCCCGTTAACATGGTGAATTTCTTTCAAAAGAACAAGATGCATAATAAACTACTGCCTAGTTGATTAAAAATGTACGAATCGATAATAGCTTTGCAACAAATATATCCAATGATCGATAATCCGGTGGAGAAACCAAATCGATAAGGCAAGTAATTCAACAGTTAACACTAGTTAACGAAAAGGTCACTTACAATGACATTCTGACTTATCTTTGTGACCTTAGGGGTTGTTCCTCTTGTGAGTATACGTCTATTTCCTTTTCAGTGTTTGCTGAATTATTTGGAAGACAAGTATAAAAGGCGTCGTTTGGTGGGAAGAGCTATTTTCGCCATTGACTGGTTGACAAACCCGGAGCGATATAATAATACGCCCATGCATTTACTTGAACGCGCGCGTGATATTATTCTCACTATAATGGATGATGGTACAGTCGGTTCAAACATCAGTAGTTATGGGTGTAATGTGTTAACTAATCTTCTCAAAATTGAAGGAGTCGTAAGCCTTTCTTAGTATTAAAAAGAACTTCCTAATTCCAGTAGACTACTATTTGACCGATACTAACACATCGACATGTCTCACTTTTAGGAGATCAATTATAGAAAGTGTTGCAAAATTCTCTTTAAATTTCTACCAGGCGAAAGCAGTACAGTTGTAAGAGAACGCGCTTTAGGTGCTATCAGGGAATTGCTTGGACGGGTAAGCTCTTTTTTACTTATTCGCGTCCTTTGTTATTACTGCTCTAGAATAACTTTCAACTACCAAACAGTCGTCAGTACTCACCTTAAGTAGACATGGTACGTCCTCAAATTTGCCTGTTTGTGGTATCATCTTGCAGAATTTAGGCCCCCAATAATCAAGGTTACTTTTTTGCTTATCAGCACCAAATAATCAACACAGAAGAACGACGTTTATTAGATTTTGATTTATCAAGCAATCACTCTTTGGGTTGATTGGTTGGTTGGAGGTTGATATTATTAGCTAAAGTTTCATACTTTCCCCTAGGTATACCAAAGCTGTATCTTCTATTTGGCATCAATTTTCCCTACCACAAGGGATCTAGAGGGAAAGAGATAAGATGTTTGCTATCAGAGAGGAAAAGGGTTTGGGCAACGGATAGGTGTAACTTACACGAAGTGCGTATGTTGAAAGAGAGTGCATATGCGGTTCGTAGGTTCCATGTACGCCCTCAGCAGGCGATCACGACAGGTGAGGTATTAGAGATTCCATGACCACATGTGAAGGAGAAGACCGAGAGGAAATTTCAAGTTGAGAAAAAGTAAAACCTCATCCAATCGATTGTCACCTTGAGAGACGATTAAGTTACTCTCCTAAACCATCTCAGCGCGGTCTCTTCACATACTCCAAATGATTCGAGTATGTTCCATTGAGGCGGCTGTGACATACCCTTCTTTATCGGCTCTACGTACATGTCCAATCAAGGCCTAAAAACTAGTAAGACAATTATTTCAGTGAAAAATGATATTTTCCACTTTTTCAGCTGAGTTTCTATGCCGTGTCTTGTCAATGACTTTAAATCTAGACAGTTTTAAATCAGATATCTTCCCACACAAAATTCATTTAGATATCGATCAGTTTTTATTAGCCAAAACTATTGTTTTCATCATATAGTAATTTTAAATGCAGTAGTAAATTTATTTATTAAGTTTTCAAATATTTGGCGTAAAGATTCTTGTTAGTAGTTGATGATGTAGGTGGTGGAGGAGGGGGGGGGGGCTGTGAGGGGTGAATTTTAGTTGGAGTTAATATTTTGGCAGAAGGAGAAAAATCACACATTGCTAAATTGGGCCAAACCGGCTTTCATTCGAAAAAACAGATGAATCAGGAGACCTCAAGGGAGTTGTTTGGTCTCAATCATGAAAAATTAATATCAATTGGCAGGCTTTATGATAGTTATCATTAGCCCTTTGGTTGACTTCAGGCTTTATGATAGTTATCATTAGCCCTTTGGTTGACTTCAGGCTTCACACACAGAGAGAGAGAGAGGTGGTGGGGGGACAGACAGACACGAAGGTAGATGAAAGGTGAGGTGAGTACTGTGAAAGTAGTCGAATATGACATACAGTGGGGTATGAGTATACGTTGCCCAGAGTGCACCACGTGGAGGTAAGTCTATCGCACACCCCATCACGAAAAATTAAAGTCGCCCCAAAGCGGAGTTTATCATACGAACCGAGACTGAGAGCATGGGTATTGCAGTGCAGCCTACAAGTCATTAGTATCATCAGTATTTTTCGATTTTGTACAGAATTATTAATTTACTTAAAAGCATACTCTATTTAGTCTTACCCATTTTAGATGCCCGATGCTGACTTCGTTGATGCTAGAAGGTGCAAGCGATATATAGAGTGTCTAATGAGATGTCTTCTTGAGTATCACGTTCCTAAGGGAGTTTTCCAACAATGGGCTCTTTTTACTAACCACAGAGGAGTGCGTTACCTTAAGGAATTTCACAATTTTGTTCCAAGTGATCGTGGGATCGATTGTGCGCAAATTTTGAGCCAGTTTATTGGTAATAGCTATGAGGCCTGCTTAAGGTTCGTATTCGTTGGTGGTTTCCCATTGCTCAGACTTGTCATACGGGTAAGTTCCTTATTCGCAAATATCTACAACTTGCACTTCTCCCAGTACTCATCTAGTGAACTCCAACTTCTAGATAACTATAGTCAACTGCAAGGGGGTCATCTCCTCTCTCCCTATGTTTAGCTGTGTTAAAGCTTTCTTTAAAGGGTTTGAATTGTATTCTCAAGTATAGCGGTAAACATTCTATCCAGCTATTGAGCGGTAGAATTCGAAGAGTGCCTGAAAACGTCTATTGAGGTTAGATGTAAAGGACTACACTTTGGGTGACCGCATAATCTCGTCGTAACGGACATCCCCAGATGGGAGTTTCAAGGAAATTTTGAGGTCCACATTTACGACAGGATGCAAAAGTCTCACAAAATTGAGAACGAACCACAAACAAGATGGGGGGCTCATTACTAAGACAGCTTAGTAACTTTTATCGCCGGATATACAGATGTGTCATGAGGAAAACGGATTGGCTAAATCGATATGGTGGCAACAGCCTCGGTTTTCAGCAATTATTGGAAATTATATGCGTTTGAAATTCCTCAACTAGTTTAGATCTTTATGACAAGGTGTTAATTAAAAAATTTATTTAAACGCCGAAACTTTCGCGTTTTCCTTTTTTTCATTTAATATGTATAGGTACTCGGGCTACACATGGATTTTAAGCACTCTAAACTTCACTTAGTTTGGTTTTCGCCCTGTTTAATCATCACTTTAATTTCAAATAAATTGTTTTTAAAGTGTCTTTTTTTCTCTTTAGTGCTTAGCAGCGCATACGGAACTTGAAAGAGTTGTATCAGTTCTCAACGATCTAATAGACCGTGTTAATTTTCTGCTAAATGAGTACCAAACGTGAACTTAAAGATTGACATTGTAAAAGTTTGTTTTTCCTTATAAATATTTTATTATTGCTCATATTAATGAAATTGACTTTGCTCTTTAATGATAACAATTTATACATAAACTAAGATAAGGGATATCAGAGAAAGAGGGGATGTTTTGGGGATTTGCGCTGAATTCCAATCGGTCTCAAATAACCTTGTCTCCCTCTCTTCAGCTTGCCTAGAATTTATAAATTTCGCTTACTGACTTGCTAATTGTTGTACATGTTTGCCAAGCAATGATCTCCACACTTTGAATTAAAGTAATTACCAAGTTTTAGAAAATAATACATTTATTTATATCAAATTGTAGGCGTTTTGATAGTTACCATTAACCCTTTAGTTGACTTAAGGTTTCACAGAGTGTAAATAGCATCAAAGTGAAAAAGATTTGAGAAGGGGGGGGGCAGAAGAGTGTTTCAAAGATGTAAAAGAGACAGACACAAAAGTAGGAAAAATGTGAGGTGATTATTGTTGAAGTAGTCGAATATGAGAAACAGTGGGATCATGGTAGTTTGAAGCCAGAAGTCAACTTTCGTGACTTTAATGTTCTTCCTTCCTGTGAAGCCCAAAGTCAGCTAAAGGGCAAGTAATAATTATCAAAAGACAGGCCATTTTTTGTAAATAAAATGTCGAAAAGCACGCTCAAATTAGCATTTATTGAATGGACGACAACCTCAACGATAAAAGAACAGAAAATGGAATTTATTTAAACTGCATTATATTTATTCTATAGTATAATTTTCCCTCAAACCCCCAAATTACTTTGTGTGTTCCAAAAAGTTTTTCTCGCTGTTTCCCTTCTATTGCAAGACTAGTTCCAATGAGGTTAATATGAAAACGGACCGTACTGACCTAAGGGCGTTAAAGGGTTAATATAACACTTGGGTCATATTCATTACTGATATTTTAAAATAAGTCAACTATTGTTACACTTAACCAATAGAAACACAAAGTCATTCTGTTTATATGAAGCATTTTTTAAAAATTCCTGATTCTAAAATTAGCCTTCTATTATTATGAGACATGAACCGTTCGTAAAATCCATCATTGCTATTAATTTACGACCGTATGCTGTTTTCAAATTTCATAAATAGAAAAAAGACGTGAAATTCTTAACTAATGCATTTATGTAATTTATATACTACAGAATAGCTTATTACTGAGTAGGTTAGTAAAAATCCAAAAAAATAAATCATTGAAAATAGCAAAAAAGAATTATTTTAATATAAAGCAATCTTTAAAATTTTGTTAAATTACTCTAAAATACCTAAAGTGATGAAGCGGCTTAGTGAACTGTGTAAGGCTCTGCTCCGTGTAGTTAGCTTTTCTTGTGAGTCTCTTATTTAAATGGTATTGTAATTTCCCACAACCTTTAGCAAATAAAAATAGGCAATTTTGAATACTTCAGTTCATTTTAAAGGGCAATGATTATTCCGATTCGCTGTTTTACCTGCGGTAAAGTTGTTGGAGATAAATGGGAGGCCTATCTCAATCTTCTTCAAACGGAATACGCAGAAGGCGATGCTTTAGATTTTCTTGGACTGCGACGCTACTGTTGTAGACGCATGGTCCTCGCCCACGTGGATCTTATTGAGAAGCTTCTCAATTACGCTCCGCTTCAAAAGAGCTGATGCAATTTCGTATAAAACTGTTTATATTTAACTTTACCTGTACACAAACCCCTCCATCTTGAACGTTATATTGTAATATGTTATCAGTATATCATTGTAATTTTTCTATTCCTATTCGTTTTCGTATCACGTAATTGCCTAAAATTGATTTTGATTTACTAGTCAACACCACGTTTGAGATGCGCTCATTTAGATTTTATCTTTTAACTTAAGATATTGTAGTGTTTTCGTATGCCTTGAAAGGTATGCTTAAAGGAGCTTTCTTCTGTTTAATTTTGATTTGCTTAATGAATCTGTTTATCTTTTCCTTTTGATTGCTAGGCTTTGTTATTGTTCCTTTAAAGACTGATAGTTAGAATAGATTAATGACATGATTTAGTTCCTTTTTGACTTTCCGTTCCAAAACTCTTTGTAAAGTCGCGATTTCGGAACGTTTGTCATAGATTTTAAGGTAGTCTATCATTGAAGGACAACCCTTTTCCGTATTTTATGACTTGGTCAAACCTAGTGATGCGGAAATGAAACTGAACTTGTCTAATTAATGGGAAATAAGACGTCAGTTCTTGATGCGTTCAAAAGTCAAGCATAAAGAGAGCAAGGGGGGGGGGCTTTCTTTTGCTTTCTCGATGAGCTTATTTTCTGTGATTCAGCAATTCGTATTAGCTATGGGCTCAAATTTCTTTAAATATGGTCGTCGACCATTTTACCCAGTTCGGACAAGACCCCTTATCGCGTGGATCAGAACGAAGAACAAATGAAAATGATGAGAAGTGAAAGTGCCGTCTAAAGATGAGCATTTATTTAATGAAGTTTATTTATATCAAATGGCAGGCGTTTTGATAGTTATCAATTGCCATTTAGTTGATTTCAGGCTGCACAGGGAGGAGGAGGAATATCAAAGAGAAAAGTGTCAGGATGAGGGGGAGTTAGGAACAGAAGGGTGTTTCAAAGATGCAAAAGAGACCGACACAAAGGTTGAGAGTAGGATAAGGCGTGTACTGTTGAAGTGGTGGAATATGACATAGAGTGAGGTCATGGTAGGTTGAAGTGAGAAGTCAACTACAGGTTGATAGACTTTTTAACCGCATGAATATACGTTACCCAGAGTGCATCACGTGAGGGTAAGTCTATCGCACACCCCTTATTTAACGAAGCAAATGAAGATGATTTGAGTGGAATTAATTGATCCGCAAGGTGATTAGTTAATAATCAGTTGAATTACTATGAAGCGAATGAAGTGTCAATTCCAAAAGCATATTGGTTGAGAGATCGCCAAGTGTGGGTCCCACTTCCATAGCTAATATATATAATGCCAAATGTTATTAAGCATGATTTGCCTTGTCAACTGCATAATACCACTCATCACGAATCTGGATAAACAATTGAAAAAATACCATGGGAGCCAATTACTGTCACTTCATATGCGAGTCAGAAACCAATGGGAGTGGAAGGGGAAGAACACATCCTCCTTGTAATACTGATAATGCACAGTTACAACCTCGAACTAAGAACAATAAAGCCCAATTGCATGAAGTTAGTCTGAAGAGTAGAAGAAGCAATCGATTGTTTCATGAATGGTGTGAGTCAACTCGAAAAACTAGCACCAGATAGAAATTTCACATCTTGACACTCTATTGAAATAAACTATTTGGAAAAACGACCTCTTTAATCAGCACTAAATAAAACAAAGGAAATGTGACATTTATGAAGTAGAGTTGAAAGCTTGGGAAAGAATTGCGTGAAATTAGCATTCATATGCTAAGCAATAATTAAAAATCGAATTAATAATTTTTTTGTTTAAATGATACGTGTGAAATGAAACATAAAAGGGGCATCAAAAATAGAATAGAATATTTTAAGCCTTTTTAATTTAGTCAGACATACATTTTTTTGGAATACAAACAACATATTTTCCACTTAAATTATATAATGCGTCTGCAGTCAAAAGAGCAGGCCATCTAAGAAAACAGTCGATGTTAAATTTAGTGAAAATATATTTGCCATTGTACTGAAGTATTTGTGATTAAGCATAAATATATTTGCTAGCTCGTTAATATGTAATTTACTGACGTCAACTGGAGAAATCGAGGTTATGGGTGGAATGATAGAGAAGTTTATAAAGAAATACAGTCAAATGTGCTACCAAACGTCTTAATTGGGACAATATATTAGATTGACTGAAACCATGCAAGACCTGCAATTTCAACTGCTTAATACCATTTACCACGAGTTTTGATAAAATGAAAGGAGAAATGTGTAATCTCTGTAGTGCCAATTAGAAGCCGTCAATAGGGCAGTGGTGGTGAGAACATAATTGGCGTTAAAGCTTAGAGAGAGAGAGTCACTGTGCTATGGTCTCGCTATTTGAATGGAACAATTTCTCAATGAGTCATGCCATATTGATCCATTTGTATTTTGGAGTCGCGTCTTTGGCGTAGTAGACAGTACGCATAAAAGTATAGAGTATTTATGACTTTTTATTTTAATTAAATCATTTTCTTTGGAATATGAATAGAACATTTTCCAGGTCGATAATATAATATTAATTCGTGGTTCGACGAAATCGGGAATAAAAGGAAAAAAGGAGTAAACACGCACAGACCAAAATATAGAAAATAAAATTTTTTAAATGCTAACAATTAATTAAAATGAAAAATCGAAGTTGAATGGTCTTGAAGTAGGAGGAAAATTCATGATGACCCCTTTAAGGTCAAGTTTGTTTAAATGATCTCCAACAAATATTAATAATTATTCATTTGGCCTACTTACCATGTCCCGAGCAGACGCTTCCAACGCCAAGATTTGCACAAGGGCTTTGATTTCACCGATCGTCAATGCATTCGATTCCAATCACGTTCTTTGTATGGAAAATGTGGAACATCGTGAGGCAGACGACAAATACAATGTCCATTTCATCTGTCCAGTTGAAGATGAGAAGAGTATGCACACGAGAACGGCCGTTCAAGAGAAGGTGAATGGCATTGAGGAGGAAACTGAGTGTCCCATTTGCTTTGATGTTATTCAACCACCCATCCTCAGACCAAGTGAATGCAACCACTACTTCTGTCGCGATTGTCTACTGAAATGCGCTCAAGAACAATTTGCCTGTCCCATCGATCGCAGACGCCTCACGAAAGTGATGCTTTATGACAAAATTGGAGGCGATGTGACAAAAGAGCAGGTATATTTTGTGCGTATAAGCAATAAAGAGCACAGAGGATTTAAAACACACACTTGTTCAATAACAATAAGTTGATAACTATTGTTCCATCTCTTACTTTAGAATTGGGTACCCGATGTCATATTGTGCTGCGGCTGTCTACGCGGTATTCATCCTGATGATCTAATATCCTGCAGGCGATGCAAGCAGCCCTTGCACGTAGAATGTGTAGATCACGGTTGTTCTGTGGAAAGCCAGAGTACTCGAAGAAATGGAAGAAGAAGAAGAAGAAGAAATGGAAGAAGAAGTTTACGAATGCCTTCCATGCGCAATATTGCAGTTGTCTTTTTCAAGGGGTTTCGAAGATTGTGTGATTTGTATTCGAATTCACTACCGTTCGAATACAACCTACTTGACAACGATTTAATTGTAATATAGGACCAATGTAATCAATTGTTCAAACAATCTACAGTAAAATATCTGTGTTTTAATAAAAACTCATGCATGCGAAACCTACTTTTCCGTATTTGTATGAGTTTGTATAGTTGCTAAACCGACATTCAATGAAACCTTCCATCCTCTCTCATAGTGTTCACAAACAACCAAACTGTATTTAATACAACATACCTATTTCATCCATATTTATGGAAATGAAGGCACAACAAGAGGGAGAATTCTGTTTCCCTTTTCATGCTGCCACAATGAAGTTTGACGCTTATTTCATAGTTATGCTGATAATTGTAATTCTTAAACCCCATTTTCTATTGTTAGCCAGAAGAATATTTTGACTGTAATAGTTGACCTCGATAATGCCATTAGGTCTCAACTCAGATCTGATTCGACCAAAGTTCCAAAGAATGTAAAGCACAATGACCTCAGCTGGCAATTTAATTACTATTTTCCACTTGTTATTAGCATGCGGGGAAGGAGAATTGCTTGCTTAGTTGTTTTTCAACAAACTGCATTGGCGAGCACTCGCTTTTTCCTCAATTGCATAGTATTTGATGTGAGTAGTGTGTGCGTATGAGCACAGTTAATTTTTGGCTGATTTGACTAAATATTTGCTTGTTTATTTGTATCGAATGGTAGGCTATTTGATAGTTACCAATAGCCCTTTAGTTGACTTCAGGCTTCACAGAGGGGAAGGAACACCGAAGTGAAGAAAAGTCGAGCGTGTTGGGGGG